AATTAAATTTAGGCTTTTGATCAATTTTTAGCTACCTTTTGGGTTTTCTTGGTTTTTGAGACAAGGTCTTACTATGTATCCCTGGCTGGCCCCAACACAGAGATCTGCTTGCATCATTTCCCGGTGCTGGGATTAAAAGAATGTGCTACTGTGCTGAGCTTTATTTATTTATTTTTAATTCATGGTCCATGCATGCCATGGTATATAGGTTGAGATCAGAAAATAATCTACAGGAGTCAGTTCTCAACTTCTATCATGTATATTCCTGGAACTGAACTCACGTCCCCAGGTTTGGTGGCCCAAATGCCCTTACCAGATGAGCCATCTCATTAGTCTTTTTGTTGTTGTTGTTATTCCAATTATGTTCCCTTGGCTGGCTTGGTATTCTTTATGTAGCCCAGACTGACCTTGTATTCTTGGCAGCCTCTCAAATGTTTGAATTATATGCATAAGCTACCATGCCAGTTTTTGCTTTTACTGTACTTGAAAAGTTGTTTTTTTTTTGTGTTTTGTTTTTTTTTTTTTTTTTTTTTCTTTTTAGTGTGCAGGTGCATATGTGTGTGCTCGGGATGGAACCCAAATTTTGTGTACACTAGGCAAACACTCAGCCAACTGTGTTACATTCTCAGCCTTCCTTCAGTGCTGTGGATGAAGTATCCTTCAATGCTTGGAACAATGTTGAGAACAGAGGATATGAGTGTAAGGCAGGACTTCCACGGGATAGTTTCTAATCATTGATTCCTCATTTCCAGTTTACAGGTCGGGCTTTGTTGAGTCTTGAAAACTGATATATCTTTTCCTGTGGCCAAACTCATCATTAGAGTCACCCTAATAGTAACGGCAAAGGAATTCTTGTAGTGCGTCGCTCCAAACCACCCATACATTGTGCCAATTTGGATTTCAAAAAAAAGTAGCGCCGAATGCCAGGGTGATCAATTCCTTACTAAGGAAGATTACATCCAGCTTTATGATGGACCGAAAATCATGGTGTTCCCCATTTAGGAGGGTTCTCAAGAAGTCGAGTCAGGAATTTGGTCAGGGAGAATTTCTGCACCGGTTTGACTGTGGAGAGGGGAGCTGCTTAGAGAGCCACTACAGCCGACACACTGGGCCTGGGTGGGCCAGCGGCTCTTAGCTCTCTGGAGATTCTCCACTGACTCAACTGGAGGGGCGGGATCCGCGGGGTGATGGCGAAGAAACTGGGACTATAGTAAAAAAAAAAAACTCGCCGGTTGCAACGGTGGACGTAATGAGGAAGAGCAAAAACAAACAAACACAAACAAAAATCCAGGTATTGTTACTATAAAATTAGTGTCGCGGCCAGGCACAATGTTAACTTTCCCCTTGACCAGAAAAGCTGGACAAGGACTGGACCTCTGCTGGACAGGTCCCTATCCAGCACCGCCTGGATCCGCCCACTGTCTTGGTCTCGCGTGGTCTGAGTTCTCGTCGGCTCGCAGGGGCCGACGGGAACGGCGGCCGCACTAAAGGGGGCTGTCATGGCGGCGGCATCGTTTGGCCGATCGGTGCTGGGGCCGCGGGGCATGGGGCTTCCAGGCGCAAGTGCTCCGGGCCTGCTGGGCGGCGCGCGGTCCCGGCATCTTCCATTAAGGACACCGCAGGTGAGTACTGGCGCGGGCCGTGGCCACCGCGCGCCCCTCAGCCCTGAAGGTCACGGCGGGGAGGATCCGGGCACGCGCCGGCATTGGTCCCCCACGTACCTCCTACGACTCGGCAGGCTCCCCGCTGACTGGCCGGCGCACACGGGAAGCCAGACTGGGTGCCCACGCCTCGGAGCGACAGGGCACGCTGGCCTGAGCCCAGGTTCTGGCTGTGGTGGGGTCAGGAAGGGAAATTTCTGCGGAGGGCTCGCCCAGAACGACTCCCGAGGCTAGCTGTCTAGACCTGGCTGATGCCCTGAAGTGACCCCAGCCTGACCTCAGCCTGCTGCGGGTGACCTTGGTCTGCTGCTGCACTCTTGGTCACTTAGGCCTGTCTCCTGGTTTAAGCTCCGAGAGCACTCCTCTCCTGCTCTACAAAGCCGAGCTGTGGCCGAGGAGTCTACTGCAGTGACGGATGCGGCAGGCAGTGGGCCTCTGGCGCTCTGCGGGCTGTGGCCAGTGCTGGGTGGTTGAGTGGAAGAGATGGGCGCCCATTCAGATCCCCAGGTGGGCGGATGGGGTCTTGGCAGGTGCTGAGCGAGGCTCTTGCAGGCAGTGTCCTTGTCCTCGAAGTCTGGCCTTTCCAGAGGCCGGAAGGTGATGCTGTCAGCGTTGGGCATGCTAGCAGCAGGGGGTGCGGGGCTAGCTGTGGCTCTGCATTCTGCTGTGAGTGCCAGTGACCTGGAGCTGCACCCTCCCAGCTACCCATGGTCTCACCGTGGCCTCCTCTCCTCCTTGGACCACACCAGGTGGGTGTGTAGCAGCTAGGTGGGGGTGGGCGTTTCTGGGTGAACTGAAATGTTCAGTTTTTTTAATCCTTTCTCTAGCATCCGGAGGGGTTTCCAGGTATACAAGCAGGTGTGCTCTTCCTGCCACAGCATGGATTATGTGGCTTACCGTCACCTGGTAGGAGTGTGCTACACTGAGGACGAAGCAAAGGCGCTGGCTGAAGAGGTGGGTGTGTTGGGGGAGGGCAAAAGATGGTGGAGAATTCGGGGATTGGGGCTTCTGTGAGTGGTTGAAGGATTGTGATGGGATTCTTGGTGGCAGGTGGAGGTCCAGGATGGCCCTAATGATGATGGGGAGATGTTCATGAGGCCTGGGAAGCTGTCTGACTATTTTCCAAAACCATACCCCAACCCTGAGGCTGCCAGAGCTGCTAACAATGGAGCCTTACCCCCAGACCTCAGCTACATTGTTCGAGCTAGGTACATGGGCTGCCTAGAGTGTGGAGCTGGAAACAGGGAGGGAAATCAGCCTTCTGTTAAGGACTGAGAGCCATGGTTCTGGTTCTAGGCATGGTGGTGAGGACTATGTATTCTCCTTGCTCACTGGTTACTGTGATCCCCCCACTGGGGTGTCATTGCGAGAAGGCCTCTACTTCAATCCTTACTTTCCTGGCCAGGCCATTGGTATGGCTCCTCCCATCTACACTGAAGTCTTGGAGTATGATGATGGTGAGTGTCCTTGACCATGGATTCTTTCCTGCTCCCAGCATGCTTCTCTTATATTCCTGGGTCTAGAGATCTGCTCCCTTCTCACCTGGAATGTTTGTTGACTGTGTGTATCTAAAAAGGCTTTGGAGACAATTTCCATAATCCTGTAGGATTCCTGTCCCTTTGAAGTCTTGGTAATGGCAGGTCCTTGCCTCTGTGGAACACAGTGCACAGAGGGTTACCCCGGGTTGGCACAGGTCCCCAAAGGTAGCCCTCACCATTTGTCTTTGGCCCAGGTACCCCAGCTACCATGTCACAAGTAGCCAAGGATGTTGCCACCTTCCTTCGATGGGCATCAGAGCCAGAGCATGATCATCGGAAACGAATGGGGCTCAAGGTGAAGGGTTGGGCAAGGGTTACAGTGGGCACAGGGAAGGGGTCTTTCCTGTCTGCCTTTTCTAAGCTTGCTTTGTTCCTAGATGTTATTGATAATGGGCTTGCTGCTGCCCCTGACCTATGCCATGAAGCGGCATAAATGGTCAGTTCTAAAGAGTCGAAAGCTGGCATATCGGCCACCCAAGTGATCCTGTCCAGTATCTGCTTGTCATCTTGCCTGAACAAGCCCTCAACAGCCCAGGAAGTCCTAGGCCTTTTCAGGCCTAGCCCCTTTTCATCTGATACAAGGAAATGGGGTAGGAGACCAGACTCTGGCTTCTGATCTTCCTTTAGCCCTCAGTGTGGGAATAAATTAAGTTTCTCAACATACATTTTAGATGTTCAATGACTGAAACCCATATTACCAAGGAACCCTGGAGCCCATATTTCCCTGCAATATTGTTTCCTTCCCAGCCCAGTACCTGGGAGTTACACATGTGGGCCAGAATGCAAAAATTGGCTGCTAAGAGCTGCACCATTTGGACTGGAGAGATTGCTTAGCAGTCAAGAGCTGTCTTCTAGAAGACTGGGGGTTCAATTTTTACCATTCACATGATGGCTCTAAAACCATCTGGAACTCCAGTCCCAGGGGATCCGATGTCATCTGGCCTCCACAGGCACCCACACACACAGTGTCAAAAGAAATATTTTATTTAAAAAAGAGCAGCATTGTTGAGCAGAATGGATATGCCTTGGCAGAGCTAGAAAGGGGTTTATATAGAGTATCCACCAACTGTGTTCCATACTGTTGGCAGCAGGGAGCAAGCAGCAGGAAGACCTGGAGAAGTAACACTGGGTGGAGCAATGCTACCTGGGAAGATGAGGAAGTTCTCAGGAAGTGTTGAACAATTGGAAGTAGATAGGCAGAGGGTACTTGGGATGTCTCCTTAGTCTTGACTGGATAGATAAAAGGGTTGTGCTGGAGACACATGTGGGAAGTGTCTGGTATTTATCAGGGAATGATACCTAGTAGTCTACAGGGCAGTTAGGTAGTATATCTAGGCCAAACTGTCTGTGACTTGATTGATAAAGAGGCATGGTACCTCTACTCATAAAGAATGGTGACAAATGTCAGGAGGGTCACAAAAGCATGACCTGATAAGATAAATAAGACTCATGACTTTCAGTACTAAAGCATCCTTGTGGTGGAGGAAAAATACCCAGTCCCCATTGCTGGTATTATATTGACTGAAGTAGCTCTGGAAATAGAGGTGACTGGAATATAGGATTCAAGAAGGGCAACAACAGGGCCAGAGTTAATGAGAGGAACCCCTAGCAGGTTTGGGGAGCACCTGTAGCCTTGAAGGCTCTGGAAAGAGGCCCCAGTATCATGTTTTGTGACTCCTGGGATTAAGTAATCTCCTAGTGGTGGTTTGGGGAACCTCATCTGCTACTGAGGGGTAGAATCTGTTTCCTCGCCCCAGGGAGCTGGACCGGTACAACTCTTTACTAAGACTAGGACACGGGCTGGTTCTTATGTGTCTTTAATTACTGGCTTGTGGCTCTTGTTGCCTAATACTGCATCTCTGTCCCCAACAAGCACAGGTCCCCATTAAAGTGGTGGTGGTCCAAGGATTTGGGCCTGTGACAGGAGGGCCATGTTCTCTGTAACCTGGGGGAAAAGATAGGTTATTCCTATTTGTTCTACACTGTATCCCCTCATCCCTACCCAGCCTCTTGTACCTTTGGTGGCTTCTAGGTAGAGGCTGTAGTAAGGGAATCCCAAGTACAGGGCCTTTGGGTGCTACACATCTCACAGCCAGGGCGATTTGAGGCATTGATGAAAGTGCAGGAAGGGCAAGACCAGCCAAGCTGGGAACATGGAAAAACTGTTGATGCTTCCCATCTTCCAGTGCCCACAGCTGCCCATACTTGGCCCACTCCCAGAGGCTCTGGTTATTTGCCCACCTGAGGGAGACTTGGGAGACTGGCACTAGCTGGCTGGAGGGTATGAGGTTGTTCCAATGAGTGAGGAAACAAGTGTCCTAATTTCCCATCCATCTTGGAGGGTTGAAGGCTATGTCCTGTGACAGAGGAGAAGGCTCAGAGTCATCTCAAGACTACACCCCACCTCTCTTGCCCCCATAAAGTACTAACCTGAAGCTTCTCGGGGGGCTGAAAGCAAGTAGAGAAAAGCAGGGTCCCCATCTTGAGAGGCCCCATAGGAAGCAAGGCTTCGTTCAGGTACACATAGGCAACGTCCAATGACCCAGCGCTGTACAGCTGGTGGGAAACCGAATTCTGAGAACACCTGTGGCCAGAACATCAGGGCAAGGCAGTGTTACCCAGGATCCCTGCTATACGTGTAAGATTCCTGATGTCCCATGCTCACTTGTTCCTGGAGGGCTGCAATGGAGCAGTGTGGGTGGATCTTCAGTGAGACATGGGCAGATGATGCAGAGGACAGAACAGATGTGGCATCTTCAACTGTGACTTGCAGCCTGTGTCAAAATGGAGATCAGAGGGTTGAACAGTTAACCTGGGAGGGTCAGGAGGACAGAGTAAGCACCATCAGGCCTTACCTGATGGGACCTGGTGGGAACCAGGCCTCCATGAGCTGGACATTGAGAGGCACATGATGCTGTGCCAAGGTTGCTGCCACATGGGCTGCTTCTTTCTCATCCCCACCTGCAATGGCCTGGGCCAGGCGTGTAGCCAACTCTTCTACAGGGAGAAAAGACAGCTATTACAACCCAGCTATCACAACCAAACACCAGCCACAGATCCCCAGCTCTCTCCAGTCTATCCTTACCTTTTTTCAAGTTTCTAGAACTTTGAGGAAGATCCACCTCAGGATGAGTTGCTTTAGCTATTTGAGCCACAGAAGAACATGGTGGAGAAATGGGGCACATGGCTGGGGCTGGGCTGCTATTGCCTAAGAGAGAAGATAGGGATAGGCTAGTAGTGGTCTCCACCCTCAGGTTTTTAAGACCTTTGCATTCTCTGCCTCATCCCACAATCCTTAGGCCATAATTTTGGCTAAGCCTTTTCTCCCAATCTTGGCCTGATGGGAGATAACATTAAGTTAGTCAGGATGGCCAAGCGGTCCAAGGCACAGCACGGCACTGGGCCCAGGCGGGTGGAAAAACAGCTCGTAACATTGGCACTCAAAACAAGAAAAATAACTCTCAGCTGGAGAGAGGAGAGATGGATCAACATTAAGAACATTTGGTGTCAGTTTTGGTTCCCAGAACCCACATGGTAGGTAACAACTACCTGTAACCCATTTCCTAGGGGTTCAATGACCTGACCTCTGGGGCACAAGTGGTACAAACACACACACACACACACACACAACTGGGCGGTGGTGGCGCATGCTTTTAGCCCAGCATTTGGGAGGCAGAGGCAGGAAAATCTCCGTGAGTTTGAGGCCAGCCTGGTCTACAAGAACTAGTTCCAGGACGGACTCCAAAGCCACAGAAAAACCCTGTCTCAAAAAAAAAAAAAAAAAAAAAAAAAAAAAGGAAAAACCCCAAGCACGCACACACAACATTCACATATAAAAGTAATTAACCCCCCCCCCCAAATCCTCAGAAGTCCTGCCTGAATTCTGGTACAGGTGCCATATCTGATTTAACCTTGGTATCAGTCTTTCTGAACCCTTCTGGCTGGTCCCACCTGTACACCTCCTGTTTAGTGGAATCAAATAAACCCCTTAGATGGGAGCTTACCATTTCCTGCCCAACAACAGACCTGTAGTCAGTAACCCCCCTCTCGGTACCCTCAGGGGTACTCCTGGCTCTCCAATCTGCAGAGAATACTTATACTTTTTGTTCTGGCATCCTTACAGAACTGGATAAACTGCTGTTTCTACTTATCTCCTGCTCAAAGCCAGCACACTGCGATAAGGGATCCCCACTCAGTGCTGACAGCTCCTATAGTGACCTAAGGCCCTTGAACTGTCTCACCGCTGAAATGGGTAGAACATTCCAAGAACTTGGCACATTGCCTGAACTCTGAAGGTCACCTGCACAAGTTCCCCTTGGAGCTTCTATACTTCTTGTATTCTGGGCTGTACAACTTAAGCCATGTTATTCAAATTTCATTCTCCTAGGAAGACCATAAGACCTTATTTCTTTTTAATTCTTTACTTATATCTTTTGTTTTTTGGAACAGAGTCTCTACATAGCTCTGGCTCTCCTGGAACTATGCAGATCAGTCTGGTCTCGAACTCACACAGATCCACCAGCCTCTACCTGCTGGAAATAAAGGTGTTTGTGTGCCAGCACACACAGGACGACCTATTTTAAGTAGTAGCCCTCCCTCCTAGCTCTTTTATTCCTTCAGTCATCTAACTGAAAGTTTATTTACTCTACAAATGAAAGTTCCAGGAACTGGAGAGATGGCTCAGAAGTTGGGAGCACTGCCTGCTCTTCCAGAGGACCCGGGTCCAACTCCCAACACCTACATGGCAGCTCACCACTGTAACTACAGTTCCAGAGGTTCTGACACCTTCACAGAGACAACCAATGCACATAAAAATAAATCATTTAAGCCAGGTGATGGTGGCATACACCTTTAATCCTAGCACTCTAGAGGCAGAGGCAGGCAGAGATCATTAGTTAGATTAGTTTACAGAGTTCCAGGACAGCAAGGCTATACAGTGAAACCCTGCCTTGAAAAACAAAACAAAAAAATAGAAAGTTCCAAGGAGGGCAAGTTAGAAGTTTGGATCATGTTTTTTAAAAGTGCACACAGGCTATATCAGCTGTTAAGAGTACTTGTTACTGTTGCAGGGGAGTAGAGTTCAGTTCTTAGAAAGCACATGGAAGCTCACAACCATCTCTAACTCCAGTCCCTGGGGATCTGATGCCTTCTAACCTTCAAGGACACTAAGCACGCACATGGTGCAGACATACATGTAGAGAAAATATTCACACACATAAGACATTTTAATCCAAAAAAAAAAAAATTAAAAGTGCCCAGGAAGGGCTCAGCAGGTTAACGTACTGTACAACTTTTTGTTTTGGTTTTTTGAGACAGGCTTTCTCTGTGTAGCCCAGTTTGGAAGTGTATATCTGTAATTCCAAAGTTCCTACAATAAGATGGGAATGGAGACAAGAGAATACTCAGAAACTTCATGGGGGTTAGGGAAAACTAACCTGGCTAATAAAGAGGCTAACAGCAGACACTGTCTCAAACAAGGTAGAAAGTGAAGACTGACACCCAAGGTTGTCCTCTGACTTCCATATCTGCTGTGCTGTGCACATGTGTGCCCACATACAAAAGCATGCATACCACACATACACACACACAAAGGAAAAAGAAGAGTAGTGTCCAGTTGGGTGGTACAAATCTATAACACCAACACTCTGGGTACAGAGATAAGAGGATCAATGACAATTCAAAACCAGCTTGGACTATATATTGAGTTTGAGATCAGTCTGAACTGCATACTTGCCATAATGAATAGTATAAAGCAAGGGCTGAGTACATATAATGAATGACTTAAGTACCCCAGCCTCTCTTACATCAGTCATACTGTTTTTCTGTTCACCTAGCAGCTTTTCCTCAGGTCTTATTTGTAAGCTTTCCTGTATCTCCCAAGAGCACTGTCTACATCAGTGGGTGGGGAGTCAGATGATCCTTTCACAGGGGTTGTCTAAGACCATTGGAAACCACATATATTTATATTATGATTCGTAACAGTAGTACAATTAACAGTTATTTTTTTTTTTTTTTTCTCTTCAAGATAGGGTTTCTCTGTAGCTTTGGAGCCTGTCCTGGAACTCAATCTGTATACCAGGCTAGCTTCAAACTCACTGATATCTGTCTACCTCTGCTTCCTGAGTGCCGGGATTAAAGGTGTGACTGCTGTTGCCCGGCCAGTTATGAAATAATTATATGGTTGGAGGTCACCACAACAGTAAGAACTATATTAAAGGGTCACAGAAATAAGAAGGTTGAGAACCACTGGTCTACATGCAAGGCTGTCTTTATGTTTTCCTCTCAGACTTTGGCTGACTTCTCCAACTCCCAATCTTTAACCTTCCAGAGCCTAAGCTATGTCAAAGTAGGCACTGTGTACAAGTCTCACACTAACTGATCCCTCTATCTCAGTCTTAATCACTATCTCTTCCGATTAAGCCACCATAAAACCTATCTAATTCCATTTCCTAAGGTCCTCTGGTCTTCTTTCTAATCTCATCTACACCAATCCATATGACTATAGAGTATGTCTTTAAGTTGCACAGACCTGAACTTGTTATTTTCCACTTAACACAATCCTGTTGTTCTTGAACTCTTTCTTTTTGCAGAATGCTTGCTCTTCCTTTTCTGATACTCCAGGTGTCGGCGCTTGTACCTCTTATTTTCTCCACTTTCTTCCTCTTGGACGCTTTCCTAGATGCCCAGCTTCTCCTATCACTGTCCCCACCCACAACTAGGAGGCCTGGACTTCTTCAAATGAGCATTTATTCCACGACACTGACCATTTTGTCCTTCCGCGGTGGCATCTCGCACTAGTGCTGCCCACTGCTGTGCTTCCTGAGAGTTGAGGAAGTGCACACTGAAGGTTCCAGGCCCTCCGGGTGGAGGCTGAAGCTCATGTTGGTTAGGGCCACGGACTGTATAGCAAATAGACTCCAAGGGCCATTCTAAGCTGACCTGAAGAGAAGGAGAGTGCTGGGTCAGTGGCTCCTCATCTGTATACACCGAAGAGCAAAGGAAAATTAAACAAGTAGAGGTCATTTTTACTGTCCTAAACCTTTCCTGCCTGTTATCAATTCCTCACGAAGAGTTTGTAAAGCATTAACCACCACCACCCCTTCCCCAGCCCCGCCACCACAGGGTTTCTCAAGTCTTAAATTAGCTCTGTAGACCAGGCTGATCTCGAACTCAAGAGATCCGCCTGCCTCTGCCTTCCGAGTGCTGAGATTAAAGAAGCCTAATCCCATTTTTACAGACAAGCAAAGTAACTGCCTAAGGGCAGTCAGCAAGGGAATGAAGAGAGGGTTGACTCCGCTCTTCGGGCCCACACTCACCGCCCTTGGCCCGGTGCCCAATATCCCCAACCGGAAGCGCCCAGGCCGCTCAGGGTCCGCGCTCAACTGCAGCCTCCGCAGCTGCGCCTCGGTGTCGTGCCCGGCGCCCAGGGGTCTCACCGCGGCGTGCACAGCCAAGAGCACCGCAGGTGAACTAGGGTCTGCAGCCGCTGTAGCCCCGCCAGCGGGAGGCGCCATATCTCGTGCGGCGGAGTCCTGAGCCTTCCGTCGGCCAGAAACTCGGGCTATGGGCCTAGGTTCCGGATGCAACAGGCGTGGAGAACAAGAAGGACCCAGTGCCGCGCACTACCTGAGTCTGACCTCCCGCCGTGCTCAGGGATAGATGGTCCAAGATCTCCAGGCACGCTAGTCACGCTTGAGCTGTGTCCAGAGACCAAGCTGGTGTCAGAGACCAAGTGCCGGTCACAAAATGAAGGCAAGGATGGATTTTTCTCAAAGCTTTGAACGGGCGATAGCTGCTGCCCGACGTAAGACAATACCAGTAACCGGCAGGGGCCGGGCGCCAACCCACCCAAACAAAAACACACACACATATATATTTATATTTATACACACACACACACACACACCAGACGCAATAGGTTAGTCTGTACCACTCCGGGAACAGGGTTGGCCCCGGGGGCGGGGCAGGTAGCCCTAACCAATGAACACTAAGAGGGAGGCGCGTTCGTAATCGAAGGCGAGACAGACAAGGTACACAGCCAGTAGAACTGGAAGAAAAGGCTGAGTGGCGGAGAAGTTTCCCAATGGTTTGTCGAGATCTGGATCTTGAGGTTGGAGCGGACCATTCAGAGGAGTGGGGCTGGGCCTGTCGGACGCTTGTTGTTGTCCGGCCCGGGGAGGCTGAGGTCGCTGTTTCGTTTGCTGTCTGGTGCGATCTGTAGCGGTCCGCGGCAGGTCGGTCGCAAAAGTGGGTACTGCAGGGGGGCGGGGCTATGTCGCGGCTGCAGCCCGTTTGGGCCAGCAGGGCCTGGAGTAACGGGACGTCGCCGCGAAGCTTCTTCCCCCGGATACAGTGCGACCCGAGTGGAGGCCGCGGAGCCGCCCTCCAGTCCTGAGGAACACTCGCCGCGCTCAGCCCGCGCCGCGGTCATCTCAGTACCGACGCTAAGCAGCCCAGCTAGCCTGGCTTGATCTAGCCTGTTCCTGGCAGGTGGGTGTCTGCCTTTTCCTCCGAGCGGTCCCGGACTGTGGGAACCACAATCCCCGGCAGGTCTCGCGCCTCCTCATTGCCTCATGGGACTTGTAGTTTTACCGCTGCCTGGCCAGAGCTCCTATCTTGGTGCACTGCCTCCTGGGGCTTGTAGTTTTTTCTTACGAATCTGGTGCCTCTGCGTCCTGGGCGGCAATACCAGGAGATTGCTGGCCTGAGCCAGCGAAGGCGGTGGCGCCGTACTTTGGAGTACAAAGAGAGAATTAGGCATATTTGCAAATAGAACTGAAGAACTCATGGGTTTCCTCTTCTCGCCAGGAAACAGGGAAGCAACCCATAGAACTGGGAAAGAGCGCCCATACAAGTGACCCTCGAGGCTTAAGCCCTAGGTGCCCGGTTCGGAACCAGATTGCAGGTTCTTACCATGACTGAAGACCTTAGTACAGTCTGAGGGTGTCTGCAGAGTGCTGATGGGTCTAGAGAACTTCGAGAGACGGACTGTCCAGAAGTAGGAGCCCCCCAGCCAGCTCCAGGACTCTTGTACCGTGTAGGAGGAGTTGGACTTGAGCTAGGACCTGGTCTTGCTATCCTGAGTAACAGGATTATCCCCCTGCCAATGCTGAGTGCTCAGGGGCAGGTAAGGGGAGAATGAGGAGCTGCATGATGGACTCAGCTAGATCCAGCTGCAGACAGTACTCTGTTAGTGTGTAGGAAGGCGAAGGCAGAGCCTTTTGGAGCTAGGTAGTCATACCTGGCTTCCCATATTCTCAGGTAGCACTGCACTAGTCCTTCCAGCACAAGAAGCCCCATCCCAAAGGACATGAAGCTACTGGAGAACTCCAGCTTTGAGGCCATCAACTCGCAACTGACAGTGGAGACTGGAGATGCCCATATTATTGGCAGGTAAGGCTGGAGGCTCTGGGGATCAGACTCTCAGAGGCCACTATCTTGGCCCCTGAGTTAAATCCTCAGCTCAGGGTCAGTATGCTCCACGATGCTGCCTGCATTTTGTAGGATTGAAAGCTACTCGTGTAAGATGGCAGGTGATGATAAACACATGTTCAAGCAGTTCTGTCAGGAGGGCCAGCCCCATGTGTTGGAGGCACTGTCCCCACCCCAGACTTCAGGCCTCAGTCCTAGCAGGTAAGCTGAGGTGGAACCTATATTTTGGGGTATGTGGGATGGTGAACAAGGTTGACATTTATCTCTATTTAGACTGAGCAAGAGCCAGGGTGGTGAAGATGAAAGCCCTCTAAGTGACAAGTGCAGCCGCAAGACCCTCTTCTATCTGATTGCCACACTCAATGAGTCCTTTAGGCCAGACTATGACTTCAGCACAGCCAGAAGTCATGAATTCAGCCGGGAGCCCAGCCTCAGCTGGGTAAGGATGGGAAGAGGGACCCAAAAACCTTATACTCATTACCATTGCCCTCCCCACTTTGAGTAGGTTCTTGCATTCTACCTGCTTCCCTGGACTCTTGTCATCCCTGTAACCTACTGTAGGTGGTAAATGCAGTCAACTGCAGCCTGTTCTCAGCTGTGCGGGAAGACTTCAAGGCCCTGAAGCCACAGCTGTGGAATGCAGTGGATGAGGAAATTTGCTTAGCTGAGTGTGACATCTACAGGTGGGCTCACATCTTTGTGGGTAGACATGGCAGGTGTATGTGGCAGTGGGAGGGAGCCTCATACTTCTGCTTTTCTCACTCTTCAGCTATAATCCAGATCTGGACTCAGACCCCTTTGGGGAAGATGGAAGCCTCTGGTCATTCAATTATTTCTTTTACAACAAGCGTCTAAAACGAATTGTCTTCTTTAGCTGCCGCTCCATCAGGTTGGTACCATCGCCCCTCCCTTTCTCCATCCCCTCTGTTCAACTCACACCATTCCTTCACTGGCTTTTCTTACTCTCCCTGGGAAGGCCTGGGTTAAGTGTTCCTGAGACTGCTGTTTCTGTCCCCACCCAGTGGCTCTACCTACACACCCTCAGAGGCAGGCAATGCATTGGACTTGGAACTGGAAGCGGAAGAGGTTGATGAAGAGAGTAGAGGTGGAGGCAGTGAGGGCAAGGCAGAGACCAGCACCATGGAGGAAGACAGGTGTGGTGGAGGTGGAGGAGGCTGCAGTCATGGCCCCAAACTCCGGAGCCTGGAGTGGGTAGGACCCTCTGCCTGGTCTGGGTGGTAACCTCCTGAAGTCCTATTGTGTGCCAACTTCTTCCTAGGGTTCCAGTGATCTGTATGTGATGAGGAAAAGTAGAAGTCTCAGCTTCGTCCAACCTTGACCAATGCCTGGACCTGCCTACCTAAGGAGCTCTAGAGCCTCCCCAGATGCTGGCTACACCGCGGCACTGCCACTGTCCTGGCGCTGCCCAAGGCTATACCTGCCTTGCCCTTTGGCTTCAGCCTGTGGATGTCCACATACCCCTGCAGGCCCTTACTGCCCATGCTGTGGCTGAATTAAACAGCACAGGGCCTGAAAGAAAAGTGACTCTGCACCAACAGTCTGCCACAGACAGGACAGCTGGACCACAGAGTTTATTTTTGTATTTCTTACTGGGCCTGTACACTCCAGCTCTAAGGGCCAGTGACTTGAAGCCCTGTTAGTGGTGCCCACTGTTTTATGGGGTCTGGTTTTGGACCAGCCCCTGGTGCCCACTTTTGCCCCCCCACCTTACCAGGTGGCCACATGCACTGAGTGTCACTTTGCTGCAGCTCATTCGTTTCCAATAAAAGTTTCTGTGACTTAGACGGAACTTCCGAGTTTGTGGGGGCGGGGCCTGCGTCATGGGGCGGGGCCAGTAGCGTCTGGTATCTTAGCAACACCTACTGCCTTTCCGTTACTTAGTCTCAAGAGCTGTTACACCTCTCACCTCTGGGACTGTCCGTGGTAGACATGGAGAACACCATGTTAGATGCAAGCAACGTCTTTCCATCAGAGGGCGACAACTTGGTTATGGACACAGACTTGTATGATCAGGATGGCTATGATGTTCCAGATCCTGGGGTACTCTCAGAAAAGAATGGTGAGGGCACCTACTGTTGTCTAGGCACCCCACTAGGAAGCAGATGTTTCTCAGGCTTTGTTCGTTCCTGGAGGTTGAACTTCCTTGGGCAGTCCTTGACCCATTATGTCTCTCAGAGGAGGGCTACTTGTTGCTTACCACCTCCACAGTTGGAGCACAACACTATAGTGACACCATATCCTCCACTGACTTACAGAACTGGGTCTGTTGGAGGGACCACAGGTCCTGCAGCTCTTCACAAATAACCAGAGGTGGCGGAACATGACACTGCGTTCCCGTGCCCGACAGCTATGGCTATACCTACGTGCATACCTCCATGACATTGTGGAAAAGGTGTGACTCTTATGAGGTTTCTAGTTGGGCTCTGCCCTAGATATACTGGGCACCAACAACACTGGTTCTTTGGAGTTTCTCCAGGCACAGGAGCTCATGCCTTCACTACTCACATGCACATCTGTGTACTCTGGCCTGCAGGAGAAAAGAGCAGAGCTGCGGGTCACTCGGATGACACATGGGCTGGAGCCACTTCGTCGTCTGGAGGTAGCAGCTGGACTGTGCTCAGTAGCACAGGACCCAGTGGGTGAACGCTTCGTGTTACTAGATGGTGCAGGTTACCTGCATCAGCATACCAAGGATGGCTGGGTGCAGGCAAAGCTGAAGGCTCCTGTGGTGCTTCATGGGCTAGTGACTGTGCCTGGCCCACTGGGAGAAGTGGGCCGTTTTGTAGGCTGGGGTCCAGCTGGACTGACCATATTAGGGCGAGACTTCCACCTGCTCTGGCTGAGCCAGCCACAGGTGAATAAGACACTGGGCCAGGAGCCTCTTTGTTGCTTACCAGTGCCCAGTCTGGGACTGTTGATTGTGGCCCAGGTGGGAGGCAGCCTGGAGCTCTGGAAGTTCCGTTCAGGTGGTCGCCGCCTGGTGTTCTGTGGCTCACCTTTGCAACCACCACCAGGCTTGTCTGGCTCTCTCAAGCGGTTGGCTCTAGGGCCAGAAACTGACCACTGTACCCAGCATTGCTTCGCTGCCTATGGCTCGGCAGTTCTCACTTTTGATCTGGACTCCTGGACTCTAATAAATGTGTGCCAGGATCTGCATAAAACGTGAGGGGAGTCCAGGGACAGGTAGATGGGAGGCAGATCCCCTAAGGAGAGTCAATTACTTAAAGGGCTGTGCTAAATCCACTGGGCTTCCCATTCTCTCACTTCTAGCATCATCTCAGACCTGGAGTACTGTGAGGAGGTAGAAGCCATGGTGACAGCTTCCCGGGACAGTACCGTGAAGGTGTGGGAGGCTGATTGGCAGATCCGGATGGTGTTTGTGGGCCACACAGGTGTGCCACAGTCTGGCAGCTCTTGCAGCCCTTCTCTCTCACCCTGAGCTTGCCCTTCTTCAGTGTTGGCTGCATCCCAGGAACTCCTTAAGCTAGGATGTGCCCTTTCCTGCAGGCCCAGTGACAGCTATGACAGTGCTCCGGAACAGCTCACTGGTAGTGTCCGCCTCACAGGATGGGACGCTTCGCACATGGGACCTGAGGGCTGCAGCTCAGGTGGGAGAGGTAACATTGGGTTGCTGGAGCCAAGACATAGTCTCTGAGAGAGTGAGCCATTTGCTGGCTCCTGCAGGACCTGGCTGGCCGGTGCTCTCTCTCTGCTCAAAAACTGTGGAACTGTGGCGTGTGTGTGACCTCTATTCACCATTAGCCCAGCTATCAGCACCAGTGATCCATGTCCAGGTGGCACCCATGCTGCCAGCACCAGCTGAGCCATCTCTGCCCTCTCGCCTTGTATGTGCATGTGCAGATGGGTCGGTCTACCTGGTGTCAACTGCTACAGGACGAACTGTGAGTTCACTGCTGCTGGAACCGGAGGACTGTGCAACTGGGGTGGTTTATTGTTTGTCTCGAGAAGCACTGTGGGTGCTGACACGCTCAGGGCACCTAGTGCGTGCCAATGCAGCACGATGCCCTATGGTCGTGCTACACCGCCTGAGTCCACCTCCACCTCCAGCCCCACAGCCCTGCTGCCTGCACCTGTATAGCCATCTCACAGACGCTCGTAGTGCATTTACTTGCTGGGAGATTGTGCACCAGAATAAGGGTGACATGCTACGCAGTGCCATTGCCTGGGCCTGGAAAAATAAGAACAGGTGGGCACTACAGCTATCTGAGGCTGGATTAAGGCAAAATGTGGCTGACTTAGTGACAGAGCCTTGACCAACAGCTTTCATCACTTCTCATAGGTTCTTACCAATGATGGGGCACTCTGATGGCACACTGTCTGTAATGGATTGGCGCACATCAGAGACAATCTTTAGGACAGAAGCACATAGCCCAGGACCAGTAACTGCTATTGGATCCACCTGGAACAGCATTGTGACTTCAGGTCAGTACCTTTCCTCCCTCAAAGACAGCCTGGGAGCTCCTGCACCTTCCAGAAGTCCCAACTCTGGCTCTTGCTACCCAAAGGTGGTGACCTGACAGTAAAGATGTGGCGTGTATTCCCATATGCTGAGGAGAGCCTGAGCCTGCTACGTACCTTTTCCTGTTGCCACCCAGTGGTAATGCTCTGTGCTCTGGGCAAGCGCATCACTGTAGGCTTTGAGGATCCAGAAAGTGCCACCTATGGCTTGGTGCAGTTTGGCCTGGGTGACAAAATACGCTGTGACCACCGGCCACAGGATGACCCTATGGACCACATCACTGGTGAGTAAAATGGAGCAAAGGTGAAACCTGTGTCCTTATTCTCAACTGCTTCCTGACCTTAGTTCTGCCCCTAGGCTTATGCTGCTGCCCCACCCTCAAGCTATATGCCTGCTCCAGCCTGGACTGCACCATCCGAATCTGGACTTGGGAGAACCGCCTGCTACGGTGTGCTGGGGCCCTATATGTGGGGGCAGCTATAGCCTAAAGGACAGCCATTAGGGCTCTTTTAACCTCTGCTTCCCATTAAAGACCAGGGGCTGGACTGAGGGGGACAGGCTCTTGCCCCTGTCCCTGCCTCAGGTTTCTACTCTGTGAAAAAGGGGCTAGACTCTGGGCACTCTTATAGGCTCCTGCAGCTGGATGGTCCCCCTCAGGCCCTGGCCTTCTCCAGCAACAGTGGAGATCTGGTACTCGCACTAGGTTCCCGCCTCTGCCTGGTATCCCACAAGCTCTACCTACCTACATCCTATCTGGTTAAGGTATACAGTGAGATCAAGGGGGTTAAGGTGGGACTGACTGCTGCACATGAACAGTATGAGGAACAAAGCCCTCCCTGCTTCTTTAGAAATTGTGTCAGAAGGCCCCTGATGTGGTGAAAGACCCTCCACTGCCACTGACCAGCCAAACGCCACTGACATCCACCCAGTTGCAGAGGCTTGCCAGTCTACGTGGAGCAGCCAGCCTCAGGTCTGCTGGCAGGGTTACTCAGCTACTGTGGAGGGTTCTACCCAGCCCTGGGGGCAGAGTTAGCATAGCTGTATGCTCCCAGTGTGAGTTGTCTACATTCCCGAGTTCCTCTGGTATTGCCACATCTTAAATCATCCCAGAATCTTTTCTCCTGTCTGGTCCTAATTCCAACTTCTAACCTACCACACTGGTAATGCCCAGAATTCCACCTATGCCTATTTCTGTCTACAGTGTCACCTTGCCCTTCATCCATCATCAGACAGCAATACTTCAGCAGCCAGTGTTGAAGGAGGTAGTACCAGCCCAATGCCCATCCACACCCAGTTTCAGGCCACAATCTCTCAGCCTCTGGCCTGAACTCTCATGGTTGTTTGCGAAACACATGACAAGTTTTCAAAGAAGCATAGGCTGACCACTGATCTCCACCTCAGGACTTGAAGGATATCATAGCCCGGGATCAAGACCTTCAAGAACTGAGACAAGGACTACTAGTCCCAGCAGCTCGGCCCCCACTCCCCTGGAAGCGACGCCAGGAAGCCTTTGACAATTACTTACATTTGATCTATGGCTCTGACATACTGGTAGGTGTGGGATCAGTCCTAGACCATACCATGATCTTCACCCTATCTGATACAAGCTTCCTTTTTTTTTTTTTTTCCCCTGTCCTAGGACATAAAATCTGGAAGGGAGTCCTTGCAGTGGAGCACTGTGGGCCCCTTCACAGAGAGAGAGTCCCAGGACAAGGGGGTCCAGCCTGGAGCTGCCACCAGTGGTGGGCAGGCTACATCTAGTGCTGATGTTCAGCCAGCGTCCTCACCTTCAGCCCTCCAAACCCCAGGAGCCCCAGGCAGGCGCTTTGCCCGTCCTCCCCGAGTCTCCTTGCCAATTCCACCCATTCACCGAATGGTGCATAGCCAGGCATCCCAGGTGAGGCCTTCTGCCTTTCCCATATCCATCCATGCCTGACACTGTGAGCCCTACCCCAGCCCCTTGTACCTCCTTGTATACCCTAGCTTCTAGCACGTTCCTCCCTGAGCTGTGAGCTGGGCCTCAGTTTGGATCTGCAGCTGCAGTGGGATCAGTTTGGAGGAGAGATCATGGACCTGAACACATCCTACTACCTGCGGCACAGGGTGAGGGCCCCTATTCAAGGACCATTTCAGGGGCTTTGGTGGCTGTGTTCTATTCTTACTCCCTGTCCCTCCCTAGGTTCCACTGTTGCTGCACAGAAGGCCTAAAGAGCCTCTCTCAAATCTTGGTGGCTTCTTTCCTGCCACCATACAGCCCAACATGGTGAGATCTACCCCTCCTACCTCCCACAGATGGCCTTTCCTAGGGGTCAACTCTTAGCATATCCTATCTCCCTTCACTGTAAGCCATTGTGTCCCAATCTGACCTAAGGGCCATGTATACTGAGCCTATAGGCTCAAGGCTTAAGAACCTGTACCTCTCCAGCCTGGCCAGTTCTAGTGTGGCTATGGGTTTGGTCTCCTTGCTACTTTGTAAGGACTAGGCCTGAGTCAAAGGTCCACCATGAGTGGTTGTTTCTGCATACCATTCTCCCCTGCAGCACTGCTACATTCCCTTTAGACTTTTTCTGGAAGACCTGAGTTCTTGAGCTTCAGGGGAGTAAAGTCCTGTGGGGTCAGTCCCTCAAGATTTTCCCATACTTGGTCATATTAGGCACCCAGGCAAGCCCTAGCCCCTTGATAGCACATACCAGACTCTTGTTCAGGTGTATTCTTAGCCCTTCCAGCTTGGACTGGCCTATCTACTCAATACATGGACCTCTCTCCAAGTTCCTTTCTTCCTTCCCTCTACCATGGTTGTTATAGACATGCCTATTTTAGGTTAAGTTCCCTGGAGAGCATATGTGTAGTTGGTTAGTGCTCACCAAGGACCAATTACCTCTAGATTCTTCTCTTCATTTATAGTTCATATCCCATGAGATTACCCTTCTATAGGGTTTTCCAAGCTGAACCATCCATTTGTACGTTGAGAACAAAGGCTACCAGTCCAGTCTGGTTTTTGGTATCCCATGGCTATGTCCTAGTGATTCTCAACCCAGTCTGTTGCCCTCCACATCTAGCGACGTACTCGACCCATCAGTTTTCCTGGCTGTGTGCCCAACTCAGTGATACTGCGTCAGATGTGGTTGCATGCAGAGGTCAGCTGCCTTGGCTCCCTAGCAGAACTCTCTACCCAGCGCAGGCTCAAGGCAAGGAGTGGAACTTGGGACTATCAGGGTGGGCCTTGCTATCTCCACAGCCTGCCACATGTTCTCTCCCATCCTTCTGCAGCCACCTGGAAGCCAGGATGACGAGTGGCTAAAGCGCCGGAAGCATTCTACTGGCAGGTGGCGAAAGAAACTTATTCAGTGGCTTAATAAGTCACGTAAGAAAGAGGAAGAGAAGGTTGATGAAAAGGATGATGAAGAAGAGTTGGAACTAGACTTGGCCTCCTCTCCCCCATCTCCTGAAGAACAGCCAGAACCCTGGGAACCAGCCACTCAAGTAGGCACTCTAGACTCTTATGATGGGTGAGATTGGTTTTCAGAGATAGATCTGAAGCTTCTGTCATTTCCCTTAGATCTCCAAAGACTTGACCACAAAACCTCACCGTGAAGCCTCCAAGACCAAGACCCACTTGGCTCCCCACCATTACCACCACGGGCGCTCACTCTTGGAAGAGCGCTATGGGCATTTGCCCAGGTTCCTGCATTATTTTGTTGTTCAGAACTGGTTCAAAAAGCTGTTCCCTATCTTTACCCTGGAGGTTAGGAGACTCTGGGAAGCTGGGAAGCCCAGGCTGGGGTTGGGGAGAGAAGGCAAGGGCTAATCTGCATGTAGAGTGGAATTGGGGATGGGCAGGGCTTCAGCAACTCTTTCCACAGGCCTATCCAGAGATGGGCACCATAGAGGGCCTGGCTTCGATGTTTGTGGACTTCCTGCTACAAGCTACCTGGGCAGATAGAGTGAATATTCTAAATGCTCTGCTGAGACTGTTTCCTGATATGAGCAGTGAACTCTGCAGCCGGTTACAGGCCAAACTCTTGTACTTGCTCAATCAAGACCAGCCCCCTAGCCTCCAGGTGAGTCACTCCACAGTACCCTGTATCCTCACCTACTTCCAGAACCAACCATGGTTCTCTAGTTCCATCCCACTCCTGAGCCTAGGACAAGACTCAGAAGCAGTTTGTGATGCTGGCTCTGCAGTTGCTCCTGGCCTGCAGCATGGAGGTCCTTGATGTGGTTTTGGAGATTATGTCCTACTACCTCTACTCTCCAGTTGACTGTCAGTGAGTTGAGCTCCTGCTGGGTTTTCCCTACCAGCTTGGGAAGACCTGGGTTAAACCTCATCTACCTGTTCCAGGCAAGAGCTCAGGAATCTGCTGAATGGGCTGGGCCTGCATGACACACAGGGCTTCCTGTTCAAGGAGATGACAAGCTGGTCTGAGAACTTCAACCTTGATTCCAAGGCCACAATACGCACACAATGCCAACAGAAGCTTGAGGAAATTATCCTTCAGGTCTGGTGGGCCAAGGGCAGGGTAGCTTACCTACTGGAGGGACCTGTTGCTTTCTTCAGAGATCTCTCAGAAGACCACTAGTGGGTGCCCATAGGAATGCCCCTGGGTTTCCCCCAAGCAGAACATTTCTCAAGAGCTCCCTACACAACAGAAGGCTTTACTGGGATGGGGGATGGATGCTGGAGGACGCACTTTCTCCCTGGGGATATGACTCTAGTAGAAGGTGCAAGGGTCCTTACTCCATGGGTTACTCTCCTGTAGATGAATAACTTGGAGCAGTCTGTAGCCAGTGTTTCTCTGGAGCCCCCCAGGGAGGTCTCCTCACAAGCCTCCCTCATTTCTGGGGCACCCTTGCCTGCTTTGAGCACCTCTTGGATACCCTCACGAGCATCAGAAGTGTCCTTGCGTGTTCAAGAGCTGGTGGTGTCACCTGTGCCTTCATCTGTGGAGCCTCTGGTGTCTACCCTAGACCTCCAGGCTGCAAGCACAAAGGCACATTCACGAATCCGGCCAACCAAAAGAGTACTAGCTGATATACTACAGATCTTCTGTTCTGAGGACCACTTGCATGTCCCTATGCCTACTGCAGTAAAAAGAGGGCCACCGCCACTGGAGGAAACAGAATGGTCACACTCTCAAATGATAGACCTGTTTCATATTGATGTGCTTAATTTATTCTGTGAGAAGCAACAAGCACACCAGCAGAGCTTGATGGAGGAGGAGGAGCAAGGACACATACCTGGCTCACGCTTAGGCCAGCTTCGGCCCAACATTGTGGTGCCGCCGCCCCGGGATCGCTGGTGCGCATGATGGTGGGCACATTGGGTTAACCTTGCATGGGTTGCAGGAAGGTTTGACTGAATCCTCTCCCTTCTTTAGGCTCTATCCCATTTTTCGGCTGCAGGAGACCAAGGAACAAAGCTTTGGGATGTTTCTCAGGGGTGAGTGTACACAGGGGTAAGAATTGAACTCTAATGTCCCCCCTACCACTCAATCTCAGCTTATAATTTCACTTGCCTGGCTCTCTACATCCAGGTCACAGGCTGTACCGCCAGGGCCCAGCTCGCGATGGCTCCCTCCGGGTGCTAAAGCTGCCACTGCCACGAGTGGAGTTGCAGCCCTTTCCTCCAGGTTGGCCTGCACCCCCACGGGCACTGCCCCCATTGCTCCTGCAGCCTACATTGCAACGCTACTTTCTGCCCCAAGATACAAACCCAGACACCTACAGTTGACTTGGGGGACAGATAGTCAAGGCTCCAATGCCAAGGCCCAGTCCTACTACCTTGGCAAATCACAATATCATGTTTGGCCTGAATTAAAAATATACACACACACATTTACTTATTGTATGTACATACAAGTTCACTTGTGTACAAATGCACATATGTGTGTATGCTTATGGAAGCCAAAAAAATTGATGTCAAGTGTTCACTGTTCTACATCCTATTATTTATTTTTGTTTTTTTGGGACAGGGTTTATCTGTGTAACAGTCCTGGCTGTTCTGGAAGTCAATTTGTAGATCAGGCGTACCTAACTCTGTCTCCTGAGTGCTAGGATTTAAAGACCTATTTTTATCTATTTATTTATTTGGAGACAAGAGTCTCTTACATAGCTCTGGCTGTCCTAGAACTCACTATATAGACCAGGCTGGCCTCCAACTCACATCCACCTGCATCTGCCTCCTAAGTGCTGGGATTAAAGGCATGTGTCAACACATGTATTAGTGTTTTGCATATATATATATATATATATATATATATATATATATATATCAAGTGGATCTCAGCAGTAAGATGTCTGCAGCAAGTATACTAATGACTGAACCAGATGACATTTAAGGACAAGGAGCTTGTGCATAGTTTGGTGCCCTCTTTCCTTTGTTCTCCAAGCCCAGGGGAGAGTGCTCTTCTTTTTTTTTTTTTTTCTTTTCTAGGCTGCTGGTTTTATGGTTCATATGCTGTCCTGGTTACTGTTTTTGTTTGTGAGTAACATTATATAAGCTAGAGTCATTTGATGAGGGGGAACCTCAACTGAAAAAATGCTTCCACCAGACTGGTCTGTGGGCAGCCTGTGGGGCACTGTTCTTGATTCATGATGGATTTGGAAGGGCTCAGCCCACTGTGGGTGATGTCACCCCTGGGCAGGTGCTCTTGGATTGTATAAGGAGAGAGTCTGAGCAAGCCATGAGGAGCAAGCCAGTAAGCAGCACTCCTGAATGCTCTGCTTCAGTTCCTGCCTCCAGGTTCCTGCTTTGAGTTCTTGTTCTGACATCCTTCAGTGACAGACTGTGACCTACAAAGTATAAATGAAATCAACCCCTCCCTCCCCCTTGGTTCACAATTCTAGGCTGCAATCCATTATTGTGAGGAAGTCAAAGTAGCAGGAACCTGGAGCAGTTAGTCACATTAAATCCACAGTCAGGAGTAGACAGCAATGACTCATGCCTGCTAGTGCAAGTTTGCTTTCTACACTCTTAGAAAACCCAGGATCCCCTTCCTAGGGAATGATTATCGCCCACAGTGGGCAAAGTCTTTCTATTAATTCTGAAATCCTCCCACAGACATGTCCATAGGTCAACTTAATCTAGAGGGTGCCTCATTGAGACTCCCTTTCTAGGTGATGCTATCTTGTGTCAAGTTAACAAAGTCAATAAGAAGGTTTTGGATTTTCTGTTTTGTTTTCTGAGACAGTCTCATTCTATAGACCAGGCTGGCTTCACATATATGATCTTCCTGCCTCAGCTTCTTGAGTTGGGAGATTAGACATGAAGCACTATGCCTAGCTGATTTATTTATCCATCTATGTTTTTATTGGCATCTATTAATATTTATACATAGGATCTGGGGATCCAAACTCCAGTCCCCAAATGCCTTTAATCCCAGCACTTTGGAGGCAGAGTCAGGTGGATCTCCCTAAGTTTGAGGCCAGCCTGGGTTACAGTGCAAGTTACAGGACAGCCAGGGCTACACAGAGAAACCCTGTCTCAGAAAGAAACAAACTCCAGCCCTCATGCTATCAAGGCAAGCACTTAACCATGGGTCCCTTTTTAATACAAAGTTTTAGAAAACACTCTTTCTGCTGGGCAGTGGTGGTGCATGTCTTTAATCCCAGCACTCAGGAGGCAGAGGCAGGTGGATCTATGTGAGTTTGAGGCCACCCTGGTCTACAAAGCTACACAGAGAAACCCTGTCTCAAAAAAAAAAAAAAAAAAAAAAAAAAAAAAAAAGAGGAGCTGACTGACTGCTGGTAGCTAGGCAGGAGGTATAGGAGGGACAGCAAGACAGAGGATGCTGGGAAGAATGGCAGAGTTTCAAGCAGATGCAGAGAAAAACAAGATGAATATGCTGTGTTGAAAGAAGGTACCACCAGGTGGCAAAGGATAGATAACAAATATGGGTTAACTAATTTAAAATGTGTTAGCTAGTAACAAGCCTGAGCTATTGGCTGAGCATTTATAAATAATAAGTCTCTGAATTGGGATTGGAGAAACTCTGCCTACAACTATGTAGACCAGACAGGAGTCAAACTCACAGTAATCCAATTGTCTCTGCCTCCCAAGTGCTGGGATTAAAGGCGTGCACAAGTGCACAACCATACCCATCCTCTCTCACCTACTTTTCTAGATTTGGATGGGCTGGTATGGCAAAGAAAGGAAGAAAGGAAGGAAGGAAGGAAGGAAGGAAGGAAGGAAGGAAGCAGTAAGGGCAATGGAGACAGCAGCAGAGCTGCAGAAGACGTATAGAGCAGGAGCAGCAGTTGTAACGGGCCTTTGTTTGGGCTGCCAGCTCCAGAGTAAAGATATGGAGACTTGTTACTAATTATGAAAGTGTGGCCTTAGCTTAGGCTGGTTCCCAACTAGCTCCTAAAACTCAAATTAACCTGTTTATATTCATATAAATTCTTCCACCTAGTTCATTACCTCTCCTCTGTACTGTGTGTCCAACTTCCTCCATGTCTGGCTGCTGAATCTCACACCTCAGATTCTTTCCCAGATTCTTTCCTCTTCTAGCTATTGGCCATTCAGCTCTTTATTAAATCAATTAGAAGGTGTCTTAGGCAGGTAATGTAAAACAGAGGCACATATTTACACAGCATACAAAGAGATTATTCCAACAAGCAACAGAACAGTAGTAGAAACAGTGGCAACTGCGACTTTAAGAGGCAAAGGGTAGCCTCTTCTCAGGAACTGTATCACTAGTTACTGTCAAAAGCTGGGAAATCTGGACACTTAGGCCCACACAATAGCTAAAAAACGCTTGTCACTGTAGTGCTAAGGGTCCCAGTCTGTATTTAAGGCTTCATAGGATCTGTTAACTGTTGCAGCTCCTAGCTATCTCCTTTGCTGACAGAGCTTATGGTTAGGAAAGCTGCCAGGAAACAGCCCTAGAAAAGGACCCCAGGCAGCTAATTGGTAAGAGATGCACAAGAAGCACCGAATGAAGTATTGTCTTAGAAAAGACTCCAGTACTGAAAGAAACTGTCTCCTGTCAGGCGGTGGTGGTGCTTGCCTTTAATCCCAGCACTCGGGAGGCAGAGGCAAGGGGATCTCTGTGAGTTCAAGACCAGCCCGGTCTACAGAGCTAGTTCCAGGACGGCTAGGGGCTGTTACACAGAGAAACCCTAGAGAAGGTCGGTGTCCTCTCACCTGTGCTAACAGATGTGCCAGTGGAAGGTAAAGAGAATATGGAGCCCCAGAAAAGCAGACCAACTAAGAGGCAAGGAAGGGAGAAATCAAACAGGGATCTAGCGAACTGTGCAAGCAGTGTCCGTCAGCAGGCTCCCCCAAACCTTCATCTATAGATTCACTAGCTAATTAGTTCCCTTTGTCCAAGCCTGTTTGAGGCTTCTGTCACTTAAGAACTCCTGTAATTCCCTTTGTTCAAGCCTTTTGACTTAGGCTTCTGTCACTTAAGAACTGACAAATGCCCCAAAGTTAGCCTCTCTGTAAAGTCAGAGGCTGGTCCAAAGCTGTCTTCTCACCGCGGAGTCCCATGTCATCGGGTTCTAAACCCGGGGCTATTGGGTAGCAGCAACAGTCTGAACACCAAGGGCCCGGGCTTCCGAGTTCCCAACTATGAGTCCTGGCCTCGTGGTTCTGACGCCGCTGAAGCAGAGAAGCAGGTGTGAATAGGTTTGGCTCAGCAAGCAAACACGCCGGGAGACAGCAAGAGACATACAAGAGGCAGCCGTGAAAGTCGCTGCAAGGACTTAGGGTTTTCTGGGTGTGGGTGTGGGTATAGGATGGGGGGTAAGAATGCTCCCGCATCACCTACGAGCTCAACACCTAGACGAAATTCCAACACCGTGGCCCACAGTGCCTTGCGCCTAGGTCGGTCCCTCCCCACCGGCTGGGTCCTCAACCTCTGATTGGTCACAATGACTTCCGCCTTTCCGGAGGCGGGTCCTGGCCCTAGTGGTGTAATCGGTGGCCGAAACTGCCGGTGGCGTGAAGGGCCCTGCTTCGGGGCTCTCGGGTGAGCGAGGGTTGTTAGAACAGGAGGCGGGCGCAGACATGGAGGCGGCGGAGCTCCTGCCTTTCCTTGTGCCTGGCGCAAGGGCAGACTTGCAGGCGGCCGCGGCGCAGCACGTGTTGGCGCTGACTGGTTCGGGCTCGGGCCGCACGCTGTTGGCAGGACAGGCAGCGCTGCTGCGGGCTCTTGCCGAGCTTGCGGTGGTCCCGGCCCCAGCTCCTTCCCGCGACGCCTCCCGCGCGCTCGTGAACTTGGCTGCTGACCCCGGCATGCACCGGCAGCTGCTGGCGGCGAACCCGGAGCTGCCTGGCCGCTTGCTGAGCTGTGTGTTGGACCCTCAATGGCCATGGGCTGAAGAGGCGGCCGCAGTACTGGCCAATCTGAGCCGCGAGCTAGCTCCATGTGCTGCGTTGATGGAGAAGGTGCTGGCCGCTGAGCCGGAGCGGCTAGGTCTGGAGCGGCTGGTCAACGCACTGTGTACACCCACCTACAACGCGGCTGCACCCCTGCATTACCTGGGGCCTCTGCTTTCCAACCTTAGCCAGCAGGCGGAGGTGCGTGCCTTCCTCCTGGACCCGGACAGGTGAAGCCCAGGCACCTGCGTGGGCGGGGGGTGGGGAGTGTAAGTGGACAAGGACAGCAGTGATTGTGGCCTTCCAACAGGTGCGTGGTCCAACGGCTGCTGCCTCTTACCCAGTATACAGACTCCTCAGTGCGGAGGGGAGGAGTGGTGGGAACACTTCGGAATTGCTGTTTCGAGCATCGTAAGTGACAAGGAGGGAATTGGACCATTGTTGGGTGGGGACAGGTCCCTCGGGACCCAACGGGCCAATTCCTTGATCCCCTTCCTTGTTCCCACCTCCAGTACACCACAAGTGGTTGCTCGGGCCCCATGTCGACATTCTTCCCTTCTTGCTATTGCCCTTGGCTGGGCCTGAGGAGTTTTCCGAGGAAGAA